TGATTAAGTCTTGGAAACTGGGAGTGGCCTGGCTTTCTAGAGAGAAAAGGAAGATTTCTTTTGGGGAGAAAATAATCAACCATGTAGACCTAAATTTGGAAAATTTTCAAGTTGTTCAGTAGTGTCCGACTCTTTGTGACCCATTTGGGGTTTTCTTGGCAAAAATACTGGAGTGGTTTGCAATTTCCTTCTTCAGCTCATTTTATAGATGAGGAAATTGAGACAAACAGGATTAAATGACTTGCCCAGGGTCACACAGCTAGTAAGTATATAAGACAAGAGATGAACTCAGGAAGATGAAAGCCCCGCACTCTATCTATTTCACCATCTAGTTGCCCTCTCAAGACTATCAAGAGATGGACCCATAATAAGGAGAACAGTACCTGGATTTCACCCTCTGCTACTATAGTTAGTTGTTCAGGAAGTGTAGGTTCAACAGGAAATGGTGTTGACCCTCTAGTAGTTTCAAATGTTTCCTTTCCAAGGGAATTCCAAGCCCGTTTGTTGTTCATCATTCACTTTCAGTGAGAACCAATGACATCAGGAGGGTGATGTCTTGATTTGCAAGTGAATTGGATTCAAGTGAGGCAAAGCTCTGCAATGTCATCAGCCTCACTTTCTCCTCCAGAGTCATTGGAGTCCAGTGGCGAGACATGGGTCTGGATGACTGGTGATGGTCCCTAGAAGTAGTCTCAAAGGCTGGGGGGGCCTGCAGAAATCTGTATAAGAGAGGTGAGAAGAAACATAGATTCTTCATGTGCTACTATGAGGCCTCTTTGTTATATACATTTCCTGCAGACTTTTAAAAATATATTTTAGTAACTATTTCAATATAATTGGATTCTTTTATAATCCTATATATTTTATTTTATGCATTTAGAAATATTATTCTGACAAAGGGTCCAGGGGTTTCATCAGAATTCCAAAGGGACACAAAGATTAAGAACTGCTACTCTTTCGAATGAGGACATCAGTGGAAATGTGAACTTGACCATACAAAAAACTGTCAGGGGATGAGAGCAGTTGAACCCCAGAGGTTGGCATGTAAATAGCATGTGGATAACCTTGGCAAGACCAGCTGACCTAGACCTGGCAGCCGACCTAAATTTTCTTGACTAAAGGGAGACATGGGTATTAAGATTTTGGCTTTTAGAGGCGCTCATTCATTGAAAGATGGTGAAGACCTCGGAGTGGTTTTTCTTTATTCTTTTGTTGCATCTTTTGTGCAATAAATTTGCCTCATATGCTGTGGCCTCTGATACAAGATCATGGGGTCACAGAGCTGGAACTGAAAAGGACTTCAGGTCGAACAGCAAGTATCTATAAAGCAATATGGGCCAATCAAGAGAAAACCTAGATTAGTAGATAGAGAGCTGTCCTTGAAGTAAAAAAGACATAGGTTCTGACTGTGTGATCCTGGGCAAGTGCTCTAGGCAACTTTCTAAGGCTATAAGTTACAGAGGAGGTGCCAACTTGCATTAAGAGAGAGACTTTCCTTAGTAGGAAGCTCCTTGTGCCAATGTCTTTATGTCTCTGTGCTATGCACTATGCTAAGCAATGCATTTATATCAAAAGGAAAGAAAAAACACAAAAGCAGTCTCTGTCTTGAAGCACTTTATATCCAATCCAACACTTTCATTTTGCAGATAAGGAAACGGAGTCAAATACGCTTACTAGGGTGTAGCCAGGCCCTGGCTGTCTGGTACTGATATTGCCCCCAGGATTCTAGATTAGGGCTTTTCTCAGTCAATAAACAAAAAAAATCTCTTCCAAAGTTGACCCAGACATTTATCAAATTCTTGGCCATGCCTTTCTGTTTTAATTAGAAAAGGTAGGAATATGAATTTTGCTAGTGCACAGTACCTACCTTCACCCAGGGGCAATGATCTTGAATATCTTTCTGGCATTTCTAGTTTCATGTCTAGACTGAAAATCGGATATAGCTAAAAAGAAACAGGGAAATTTAACTTCAGTAGTTTGCTGCTGAGGCAGCAGGAGCTGCCCTGGTCATCTCCATCCGATGGAAATCTTATTTGTACCTTCAGAATGAAGACGCTCCTCTTTATCACATTTCTGTCCCTGTCTGTGCAGGTACTCAGGAGAAGGTACTGATTAAGAGCCTGGAAATAGGGCTCCTTTGCCCCTAAATGGATTAAGTCTAAATGATTTTACCCTGCTATCAAGGACAAGAAGTCTGGTCACTGAATATTTCTCCTTGCCATCTCTAAACTCTTATTTCTTTGCTTTCCTCAAAACTAGTTAGGAACAGTTTCTCTCGTGTTCATCGGCCTCCTCTTTCAGAAATTTACGAAGCATTCCCTCTCCCTGTGACCATTTTTTTTTCTTTCTCATCCCTCACTCCGAAGGCTTGTGGACACTTTGTTGCATTATAAACTACCTACTAAATATGCCATAGTCATGTTAAATGTAATTAAAGAAATTTCTTGATGTATGGAACAGACACACTCCTGGAAAAATAAATGCCTGCAAAGCAAATCTTGGAGTATTGGATTCTTTTTTCCAAGGAAATTTCAATTATCAAATTAGATTTGCAATTGTACATCAAAATTTGGAACCCTTCTGCATACCCCACCCTTAATATAAGAAGATGTACGTTTAAGAATGAAGCAAACGTAAATGATGTAAAAATTAAATACATCATTTTTTAAAATTTTAATAATAAGGAATCCTCTTGAGAACTGCATAGAAAAATGAACCTCAAACTGGTTTGTTTAAAGTGCCTACCACTATCCAGAAGTAGCAGGAGCAACTGGCTTTTGAACCACTTCCAGATTTCTTCTGAAGTACTGTTTGGAGTTCCACCTTCATCTGAAAACAGCCTGGCCAGCACTTTCTCCTTGAGTCATGTGATAAGCATCTTGGCAAGGCCTTGCTTCTCAAAAGTGTTCCTCCAATTCAATCTGGGGTGGTGAAAGACCTCGGAGAGCTTTTCACTTGGAAACATTTTACTTATGTAATTGGGCGTGCTATTATAAGGAAAAGCCTGACTAAGAAACAGGCGACCTCATAACTCATTGCAAAGTCAGGACCCATGCAGTCTAAGGTAAATGTGCTTAGGATGCCACTCTCTGCTTATCTCTCTCTCTCTCTCTCTCTCTCTCCTCTCTCTCTCTCTCTCTCTCTCTCTCTCTCTCTCTCTTTCTCTCTCTCTCTCTCTCTCCCCCCCTCTCTCTCTCTCCCTCTCTCTCTCTCTCTCTGTCTCTTTCTCTCCCCACCCCAACCCCACCCCCATGGTCTTTCATGTTTGCTTTCCAAAAGCATTGCTTAATACATTTTTTTTTACTTTCTCAATTATTTGTGAGGGATTTTTGCAAGGTTGCGGTGTTACATGGCTTTGAGTATTTTCCATTTCTTAGGCTTTTCAAACTTCACTTCCAACATTAGGGCTATTCATTTACATCTTTAAACTCTCTCTTTCAGGATAGGTGGGTGTTGTCCCTGTTGAATCTGTGGGATTAGTGAACTCAGAAAATGAACACCACAGGGCTTTTCCAAAAGCATTTATCTTAACAGGTGTGCATGACTTAAGAACACATGATACCAGATATGCTTGTTTAAAATGCCAAATGCTGGGCCAGGTGGTAGCAATATAAATTTAAAAAAAAAAAGATCCTGCCTTCAAGGAGCTTACATTCTACCAGGGAATACAACATGTACATTTATAATGGGAAAGGACCTTAGGGCACATTATCCAACTCCCTCATTTTTCAGAGGAAGAAACTAAGGCTGAAAGGATCAATGTTTGCATATTGATCACACAGATAGTAAGACTCAGAGGTGAGATTAGATAGGTAGATAGATACATGATAGATAGATAGATGACAGACTGGCAAACAAAGTCTGCACCAGGGCAAAGGCCTTTATGGGAAGAGGCCATTGCTGCTCAGTTGTATCCAACTCTTTTTTACCCTGTGGATCATACTGTCAATGGGGTTTTCTTAGCAAAGATACTGAAATGGTTTGCCATTTCCTTCTTCAGTGGACTAAGTCAAACCGAGATTGAACAGACTTGCCCAAGGTCACACAGCTATTAAGTGTCTAAGGTTGGATTTGAACTCAGGTCTTTGACTCCAAGCCCAGCACTCTATTCACTGAGACATCTAGTCGCTATAACTACTCTTCACCTAGCCACCAACATTCCTGGAAGGTGGTATCTTTGAACTTTTTCATTAATTTATTTTGCCCCTCTCAAGGACATGACAACATCTCAGGCACAGATGATCTCTCTAAAACAACTCATTTCCTCCTTTGCTCTGAAGTTTCCATGATCAACACAATTGCTTCTCAGTTCATCCAGGAGGTCTTGTCTGTTCCTATGGGTTGCCTTCCTACCTCATCTCAATCTATGGACCCCAACTAATCTCCTGCTTTAATTAGTGCTATTTACTATATTACAAATCAAGGTATACCTCTACACTGGTGGAACAGATTAGAAAAATAAAAACAATAATTAGCATTATCTAGTGCCTACTATGTGCAAGGCACCATACTTAGTGCTTGCAAATATTATCTCACTTGATCCTTGCAAACAATTCTGGGAGGAAGGTGCTACTACTATCCCATTTTACAGTTGAAGAAACTGAAACAATCAGAGATTAAGTGACTAGCCCAGGATCACACAGCTAATAAGTGTCAGAGGCCAGATTTGAAATCAACTCTTCCTGACTCTAAGACCAGCACTCTATCCACTATATCACCTATCTCCTTTTTCACCATAATAATAACTGGCATTTATATAGCACTTTAAGATTTCAAAAAAGTGTTGCATATATTAAACTTATTTAATACTCATAATAACCCTGTGAGGTGGGTACTGTTATTATCTTCATGTTTCAGATGAGGAAAATGAGGCACAGAGAGTTTGAGTGACTTGTTCAGGGTCACACAGGTAGCAAGTATCTGAAGATGGATTTAAACTCAGGTCTTCCTATTCACTGTGCCATTTCACTGCCCCTGAAAAGTTATAACACTTATCATCATTATGGTATGAAAGGAAAGTAGACCAGAACTCCTTTTGATTAGGGTGAGAAAAGTCCTATTGACCTTTACAAGATGTATACAGTTAAGACCTTGCTGTCTACTCTGTGGCATCTAACTATGTCAACACAGACATCTAACAACGTTAGATGTTAAAGGCCATGGCATATTATAGAAAAAAAGCACTGGGCCCAAGGTCAAAAGACTTAGGTTCAAATCTTGCCTCTGAGACTTTCTATCTGTGCAACCTTGGACAAGTTGCTTGACCTCTCTGGGCCTCAGTTTGCTTATCTGTAAAAATGAGAGGCTTGGATTAGATGGTCTCTGAGGTCCCTTTCAGCCGTAGGTCTCTGATCCTAGGGTGATTGGATTCTTGTTCCCACAACAGAATTCTGCTACAATACCTTCCATTCACTTCACACTTTTCTTTGTAAATTAATGCTTTCACATTGCCTTCCATCCAGTCCCAAACACAGATAATAATAGCCATGATAGACAATTACCTGGAAGAAAAGGCACATAATTCAGGCCACCCTTCAAGAAGCCAAGATCATGTGAAAAAATGACTAATCTACACCGGACTCCAAGAGAATGGGCAAAAGCATATAACATGTAAGGTGACAGCCTGGTGTCTGTGGCTGTTTATCCAGAGCCTCCATTCTTCTTGCCCAGTAGGAAAGACCTTAGCTTAAAAAGGCAAGGTCTCCCGCTGCATCTGGGACCATCTCCAGTTGTCGTGATCTATATCTTGCCACTGGACCCCGAAGGCTCCAGAGGGGAAAGTGAGGCTGGTAACTTTGCACAGCCCTGCCCCACTTAAATCCAATTCATTGTCAAGTCATGGCATCACTTTCCTGATGTCACGGTCTTCTTCAAGAATGAAGAATAAACAACAACAGGCATTGGAAGACTAATAAATCAGACCCTTCTGGGGAAAACAGGGTAGTTCAGTGGCTGTCCCACCTATGACAGCTAGGTTACACAATGGATACAGTGCTGGGCTTAAAGGCAGGAAGACCTAAGTTCAAATCCTGACTCAAACTCCTACTCTCTGTGTGACCTTAAGAAAGCCATTTAACCGCTGTGGATGTCAGTTTCCTCATCTGTAAAAAGAAGAGGCTAGTCTAGATGACCTCTAGACTTTCACCTTTAAAACTATAATCCAATAATCTTATGAACTGTATCCCCATTACATATACAAACATTGAATAAACATTCATTGATTGATTGAATGCATTGAGCATTACTGCTGTGAGGACACCTGCAGCTCGCACTTCATCCTCCAGTTCTTTGGCCACTCTAGGGTTGATCAATGGGAAGAAATAGTTCATAAGACTAGAGCTAAAAGGGACCTTGGAAGTCAACTGTTATGGTCTCCTCGTTTTTACAGATAAGGAAACTGGAGCCTAGCAAGGTCAAGGTACCTACTCAAGATTACCAAGGAAATCAATGGCAATGAAGGCAAACAGGCTCAGATACCATGACTCCAAATTCAGTGTTCTTTATATAGGACTGTTTTGTCTTTCTTATCATAAGTATTGTCCAAGATTTTTATGTTCAAGGCACCTTCCAGTAGCCTTTGGACTGGAAGACCCATGGCCTGGAGAAACAAAAATAGAAACCTATGGGAATCCTCTATGTGTTTATCTTGAGGGGACAGCCTTCTAAGTAAAACTCACCACTACTTTTGGGGTCCCTGGAAGCCTCTTAAATCATTGGCAAAATCACACATGGGTTCAAATCCCGCTTCTGATGCTTACTGTGTGATCTTGCACAGTGTTCTCCTCTGTAAAAAGAGGGAGTTGGACCAGATGACCTCAAAGGTCCATTCCTGCTCTGTCTATGAACCTATGATCTTAAAATAACACCATGCAGGCAGGCCCCATTGAGCAATGGGCAAAGGGAACTCATTGGGAAGATCAGTAGGTCAGTCTCCAGAACCATCCTGCTGACTCTGGCTTCCTGAATCCTGCTCCCCTGCCCTGTAGGTTGGCATTCCTGGTTTTGACCCAGGGCTATTTATTCTTTTGGCAGCATAGCCCCAGCTGCCACCCTGACCCAATTGTCAATAGCTCTCCTCTTATAATCCTCTAGTTCTCCCGCCCCTTCTTTATCCCTGTGGCTTGGGTCTCCATGGCTACAGAAACAGCTTCCCTAGCCTGACTCTGTCCAGTCAACTATCTACCATTAACCCTTGCTTCCCAGGGAGCAGCCTGGGAACCCAAGTACTCAGTTTCCTTACTAGCTCTGCCTCCAACTTTGAGACTGGTCATTTAAATTTCCCCCATTTCATCCAGCCATCCCCCCAAAACAGATATTCTAAGACATGTCTAAATACTGTAATATCAAAGTGCTTCATACCTTTGTAACTCTGTAAGACTATTGGGTTTTTATACGAGATACTTGGATTTTAATAAGTGAAAATAACAAACCTTCTGTAAAGCATTTTGGAAATCTTGAAGCATTATATAAATGTAAATTATTATCATCATTTTTCAGAAAAAAAATTAGGAAAAGGGAATTTCACTCAAGGCTAAGTAAATTCTGTTATTTCACATAAGCTGAAATATAATAACTATTAATAATGTCTTGTGCTTGAATTGAAAACACATTGATACTTCAAGCTAGGAGTGCCTGCCCAAATGAGAGGATTAGGAGGTATGTAGCGGAAAAATCAATATTTGAAAATACTTTAGTTCTTTCGTATGGCCCTACATTTCTTCAATGTCTGGATATTGCATGCACCATTAAACAAGAGCATGGCTTATTTTGAATCATTCTTTCTTTGCTAAGATCTCACTAAATTTCAATCCAAATCTGATAAATTATTTACTTCCTATGTATGATGGTGCACGTTGATATGACTCATGCCACCGAGGTCATACTGGAAATGACATCATCTTTTGTTTGCTTCCCTTTGGGGAATCTCCCTTTAATAGGACTCTGGTGTCAATATGGTACAGTGGAAAGTATGGTGGATTTGATGTCAAGAGATTTGGGGTTAAATACCAGGTCTACCACCTACTACCTGTGTGACCTTGAGAAAATCACTTATATTCCCTGGTTACCTTGGTTTCCTCACCTATAAAAAGAGAAGGTCGGTCAAGATGTCCACTAAGCTCTCTTTCAGCTCCAGAGCTACATCCATATAACTGGCTAGGATGTGAATATCTTACCCGCTTCTGTAGCTCAGGATCAAGTGAAATACAGCACTCTGGAGAATTCAAGTAGTCCCTTTTCTGTTATAAATTAAGTCCTTCAAGGCACCAATTTACTATTTGTTGAAAAATTCTATCAGGGCATGAAATGTTAGTTATAAAAAGCAAGAGAGGTAGAGGGAGAAGGACAGGGAGAGGGAGAGGGAAAGGGAGAGAGAAAGAGAGAGACAGAGACAGAGACGGAGAGAGGAAAGTAAGTCAGATGGTAATGGGGTAGAATCAGTCAGTCAATATGAGGAGTTAACCAATACATCCTGGATTTGTCAGAGGACCAGGCTTTGAATTCCGGTTCTGCTATTTACAACTTGTGTGACCTTGGGCATGTCTTTTAAACTCATTAAATCTCAGTTTCTTCATCTGCAAAATTATGTGGGGCATAAGACCCACCAGCTTACATCACCTTGGAATGGCCCACATCTTGCAGATGAAGAAACTGAGATCACATGACCTCAGTTTTGAATGGTGTTCGTAAGTGTGAAATTTGTTTTATAAGCTCCTTAAGAGGAGGAATTATTTCATTTATGTCCTTGTGTACCTAGTGCCAAGTCCTAGCTGCCTGCAAATGTTGCTAGAACCTTCCATATTTTTATCATTGTGGCCCCCCAAAACAATTTCTTAAGGGAGAAGTTCCAACTGTCATTGTCTTATCTTCTTCTTCTTCTTCTTCTTCTTCTTCTTCTTCTTAATATTATTATTATTATTATTCTCCTTCTCTTCCCTCTCCTCCTCCTCTTCCTCCTCTTCTCTTCTCCTTCTCTTTCTTCTTCTTCATGTGTTTTTTAAACAACCCCACAGAAGGGAACAAGGTAGGAGAGTTTTTAGGCCCCAACTATTTCCCATCCCCTTGGGCCAAGAAGGCACCTTACAAGCCATCAAAGCTACACCCTCACAACAAATACTAGGAAACTGAGAGAACAGCATTCTGGAGTCCTTGAAAGCCTATGGAACTCATTTGGTAGATCTGAGAGCTAGGGTAGCAGACTGCTCAGAATCCCATTTTTATAGCAATGCCCCTTCTAAAACTTAGGATCTTGGATCTAGAAATAGAAAGGACTTCAGACATGATCTAGTCCATCCCCCTCATTTTACAGACGAGGAAAATGAGACCCAGAGAAATAAAGGGATGTCCAGTGTCATGGCAACACAGATCTAGAACTGGAAGAAGATACCTGAGAGGTCATGATCTAGTCTAACCCTCTCACTTACTACTGAGGAAACTGAGTCACAGAGAAAAAGAAGTAACATGCCCAAGGTCACAGAAGTACTAAGTGGCAGAATCAAGACTTGAACCCAGGTCCAAACTCAGTTTTCTTTCCACTATCACCTTTGAGCCCTAATAATTTCAATGGTATTTGAAAGCAATCAATATTAGGATCACAAAGAGCTCCAAAGCTAAGCATTGGATCCATTTTAATGCTGTATTAGATAACTTACCATTGAAGTCATATGAACTAAAGTTAAGTCCATCTCTGGAGGTGGAATATGTATAAGTGTCAATTAACAATGTGAATCAGTGGTAGCAGAGGCCAAAGAGGCTCCACTGGACATGAGTCCCTGAAACTGTCTCTCTCAGAATGTGCTCATTGTCATGTTTTGTATGGATTGAACCAACACTCTCTTGCCCTTAATGTCTCAATGACTTGAGTCTACTGTGCCCTTAACCACATGTGGCTGGCCCTGGGCTCATAATCATCTATACTTGGCAAAGAATGTTATGAAAAATTGTTACTGAATTTCTAGCCAACTCGTGATGTAGAATGGTCTTTGAATGTGAATGTGAAGGGCAGATAGAAAAACTAGAG